GCATCCGGGCCAAAAACGGCTGGCTATAGTGTGCTAGGAGGGCATACGGCGACATAAGCCACACAGACTCAGGTGACTACGCTCTTCTACTGGTAGGGTAATCAGGGAAAGGAAAGTGGGTGACTACGTCGGTTAGAAAAAGAGGCAGGCAAGGCAATCGTGATTTGTCGCGCGGCGATCATGCTGTGATACGCGGCAAATCCCCAATTTGCATAAGTTTGACAGTTGGGGCACTGAAAATCATGACTTTCAGCGGAAACAAGACACCATAACGAGCGATATGGAATTTTCTTGCCCCTTAGATATCCACATTCAATCCGCCAGGCAGGACAACTCGTCTATCGCGCGCGGCGTCGTTTGCCACGCCCATCACTGCGGCAATTTACGATTGTCCCGTCACCCACCCAGTTAGGCAATGCAGAGGCTCGTTCAGCGTCCCTCTCCCCTCCAACTACACCACCCAACAGCGCCGGAGATTTCGGGGACATTTGCTATCTGTGGACTAAGATTCAAAATAGTTTTGCTTTCCAAGAAGAAGGCAAGATTCAGAACATTTTTCTGGTACCAAAAACCAGCAACTTTCAGCGACTGGAAGATAAGGAGGGGCAATCTCACCTCAGCATCCTGTAAATAATGAACATCTGGTGGCATTGTCCGTAAGAGGTCAAGCACATAGTATCGTCCATCATTGCCGATGATTCCCTAGAATGGGCAGGATAGTTCTATGCGTTCGTGAATATGCCAGATGAGTAGTAACATGAATATGAGGCTGACCTTAGTCTCATAACTGGTATACAGTTTTACTGTACATCCGTCGTCGTCAATTATGACTTCATGTGGTAATAATTTCAGCTCTTTCGCCGACGTCTCTAACAGTTCATGGTACTTTTCTGATGAAACGACTGTTTTACCAAAATCCACGGAGCCATACACCACTGACTGCTCCTGTAATAGGACTCATAACAAAATTCATTCAAACATGCAACTAGGAGGGTCAAATAGGCGAATGAAACCCCGGAAAGGAAGCAGAGAACCAGGTAATTCATCTCGTTCTTTGAGGGGTTGAAGAACCAACCTGCTCTTTGTCCAAAATTCCTGGTATAATACTTTGAGCGGTAACACGGTACCCTCTATAATCGATTATCGCCATTCCCAAAGTACACAGCTTACAGTTGTCAAGTGCAGCGTAAGCGCGAACACCTTGTAAATCAGCTGACGTTGCGGCAAACGCAGCCGCATCACCTCCAAGCTCCTGTAACGATGTGCGAACTTGTCGTCAAAAGAAACGAGGAGACAAGACAGTTGTAATTCGCCGCGTCGCCGCGCATGGCGTACCATGCGGCAATGTCTGGCATTTCTTGTGCATGCAGTTTCTGTTGAGCGGACAGCAAAACCGTATGAATTCGGGCATAGAAATGACTCCGCTGACAAGCCGGTATACGCAAATTTGCCCGTCCTTTTAACAACAAAAATTTCAAGGGCGGTTGGCCAGAGACAAACTCGTCCGTGGTGTCGCTTGCCACGTCACCAGAGCTGGCTTTCTTACGATTGTCTTAGTCACACTCCGCCAAAAAGGAAATTTTATAGGACAGAGCTCAACTCTTTTATACCTTATAATGATCCTTGACATCGAAACCCAGACTGAAGAAAATATTATTCCAAATGAACATATGCGTCCTGGGCTCATCTGCTGGATTGATTGCCATCACATTTCCATCAACGACCGCCAGCCATAGCAGCTGAAAGCAGGCTTCACCGTTTAGGGAAAATGTTTGACGCCCGCCGGCCTATTGGAAGACTAAAAGCGGTTCTAAGTACTCTCCGACGCAAAAGACGAAACGAGGCTGGAGGGGATGTACCGGTGAAACAAAAGAGAAAAAAAAGTCACGTGGCAACTAGAACTTCTGGGAGCGGTCCCGACGCGAAAGGCCAGAGCGCAGAAAAATAGAGTATGCGTATAGAAAGGTGCTAAAAAACATTTCGCAACACTGGTTTGGCTTTTTGAAGGCAGGCGACTCTGCTGTAGGTGCAACCACCTGCGCCCCGCGGAAAAGTTAGAGTGTGCAAGGTCACGGTGGTCGCGAAACGTCATGCAAGTGAGAGAGCGCAGAGAAAAACAGAAAATTGTTGCCATTGAAAGAACTGAGATCCAGTTCCACGTAGGCCGTCCATTCGGCATGGAAGGGTGCGACTCTCCTCTTCCAGCCGTCCTCGTTGCTACATGAGGCCAATAGAGGGAGTCGCACCAATGGCGTTGTTTCCTAGACCCGCCCATCCAACAACCGCGAACGGTGTCTTTAAGCGTGTTTCCATGACAATTCAACGAATTACCTTGATAGCAGCTCCAATAAAGTCGCCGTGAATCTTGAATACACTTCTATCCCTGGTGACTCGCTCGCTCAAAGTACCACGTGCCATTTCGTGAGTAGTCTGGAGCTCTTCGTTCCAGTCACGAATTTGTCCCGGTAAATGATCTGAAGACAGGGTTAAACTTTTCGGTGTCCAAAAAAAACTGAATTCCACGGCCAACCTACCCTCAAATCCAACACGATGAGGTTGCGACGCGTCATCCGCACGAATTGAATCCTCGACCACTTCCTGCACTGGAGACAACCACGAGTGAACAGGATACGGTGTGGGGAGTCGATCAAGCATATGCCGTTCACTGCGCTTCTTTACCAAGGTAGGGTATACCTGGAACGCTACCAGTTGAAAAGACGCTCGCAATGAGACCCTCTCGGTAATGCTGACCTTTTTGAATCCTGGGCTGAGAACGTTCAGAAGATCCACTAAAGTATGATAAACATTCTTATTTTGACTGCTTGGTTGAGCATTAAAAACTTCATCAGTTGAGGAGTTCACGAAAAATCCCTGGAACCATCACAAGAGCTTCCTTACTGATACTTTAAGTAAGTTAGCAAGAAAATTACCTTAGTGCAACAAGTAATATGGAGACGGCGTTTCTCTACTGTATCTACGAAGATATATAGTATGTCTCCCTTAACTTTCCTGTTTCCAGGAGGAGGGTTGAATGACGAAATTCCCATATTTCGTATAGCAGGTTTTCCTTTGGGGACACTTGTCAACATCGGAGCCAAGGAGCGTTCCTGAAAAATCTAGGCGTTTAAATCTGACCAAATGAAAAAGCAGTGTGAAGAGATATGACAGTGGTTATATTCACCATTTTAAGGAAGGCGGAAACCTGCCTTACGAGATGAGACCGCGGCGACACTGGTCGTCTATGCTCTGCTGAGACGTATCCTCGGCTAGGTAGGGATACAGAGGCGCCGCGGAGTCAGGTCACGTCTTACTCTGCGGATTTCCTGCTGAGGGAGGGAGGTCGCTATAATGAGGAGGTCAAATTTGGTCGCTGGAGGGGGCCCGCATTCGCCTATGAGAAAATGTTCTCGGTTGTTGATTTCCCTCGGACTGTCCTGCTTCACGTGCTGCTATTCCCGCTGTTCCCCCCCCCGCCGCTTGATGGATAATTTAGGAAAATTAGAAAAATGGCAGGCACGACAGGGGAGGGGGAGAGGGTCGTACCGAAGGAGGAAAGTTCGAAGGGGGGATGTTTCGCAAAAAAAAGTATCTTAAAGGCAGGACGTGCCCTTTGCCAAGTGTCCCCTTCCTCCTTCATCTACATTGGCGCCAGAAAAGCGGCTTAAGGGTTTTAAAACTCCCTAGCAACCAGCAGAAAGCTTATCGGACTTTTCTAGAAAAAGTTCTCAAAATACAATATGTTTAACAAACCTTCGTTCCAGGTACGACGTACTCAGGAGGCAGTCCGTCAAAAGGTTTTTCTTTGTCACCTCTTTCTTGAAGATTGACAGAAGTGAGGAAAGAGAGTGAACTCATATCAACTGCCGAAGCAGCTTCAGCCTGATCCGGATACCGTAATAGATCACGCACATGGCGAACATGTACCCGCGCTTCTCTCAAGGTATATGGCTCTGGAAAGGCAGACTTGTTAAGATATCCTTCTGGAGATGAAGGACACATTCTCAAGTTCTACTCACCATCTACAACGTGTAACACACTTCCGTCGACTAACTCAGGTATGGCACGGATTTCTGTAAAGTTGTCAAGACTGACGCCATTAAGTTGGAGACTGAAGCAGGTCTTGTGACAGGTCGCTTCACGCTCCAATAGCACCTGATGCAATTCTTGCACCATTTCTCCACTGCTGATCTGCAACAAAAACGTTTCAATAGGGCAAAAAAAACTTAGTGATTGGGACTGAAAAAATTAAAAATGAAACAATTTGAGGCACTGCCCCGTTTGCTTTGGGTTATTTTCCATATGGAGAAAAACATTTTTGAAGGTAAACAGAGCAGTGCATATACCTGGAAATCGAACGAATCTCCAACAGTTGGCTGAATGGTGAGAGTAAGGACTGCATCCTGTGCTGCTGCCGCCGCTTTCAATTGGGCTGTCGGATCCGATTCGGCTATTTCACCTGCAAGCGCCAAGGTAGTATTCATGGAACCCTCAGAAAAAATCCACAAGTCGTAATATCATCGAGCAAGTTACCATTTGTGCGAACACAGTCCGGTGATCCACTGACAGATGCGTTCCCAGAGTCGGGTAGTTGCGGCTCAATTGTGTCTTTTGTGTTCGCCACCACCGCTGAGTCTACCTCAGCTGACGTCATACCTACAAAATTCTCAAATTGCCTAAAAGACCATGAATATAGCCTAGCAAAGTTGGCGCACGTTCGATATCAAGAATGGTTTCACTATAAAAGTTTCGGGAGACGGGCAAGAGAATCGTAATTTGCCGATCTGCCGCGCGCGGCGCGGATGGGCGCGGCGTTTTCTTAACTTGTGTCAACTGTCGATTGGAGCACCGGACTTCAAGTAGACCCTGTCGTCGTAGACAATCATGACTATTTTCGGTTCTAATTGCCTGTTGTCGCCATCTACTACCTGGAGCCATCGTCATTTGCGCGCGCGACGTCGCACGCGACGTCCACCAGCGTGACAAATTACGATTGCCTTGTCACATACCCGAAAGTTTCAGGTCTCATAAAGGCAGCGCTCTCAAAGAAAGTCATGTAGAACGTTTGAAAATCCGACTTAAAACCTGGTGACAAAGCGCGGACGCATAAGTGCCAATTCTCACGCTCTATACCCACAGAGACAAGGCGTGGCTGCCTGCTTCGTTTGAGTATTCCGACTGCTGCACTCGTGGGAGGGGGAGGGGCTATTGCCGTTGTTGTCACACATGTCTTAGTCAAGCACAGGACATGGTGGCAGTTGTCGCAAATGGAAATCTTCCACGTAGACGCAATCCAGTCCATGTTCGTTATGGGTAGCCACGCCCTCTCTATCTTCAGGATACGGAATGTAATTACCAAACGACGTTGTATGTCCATGCAATAGAACACTACTATATGAATGGAAAACAATAAATAGATAAATAAATGTTAGTAACTGAAGATTCCGCTGCGCTCATAACCCTAAGGACATTTTAAAAAACCCTCCCACAAACGGAGATTCCTGCGATAGGGATGAAGACTTTTGCCTTCCCGTAAGCCTAAAAGGGGTGGTAACCGGTCAACCAGTTCTGGTTAATGAACCGGTTCAGCTTGGTTTCCGCAATGAAGATGAGGACTCCGGCCTGCTCATTAACCAAAAAGAGGAAGTAGTTGATAAACCTTTGAACTGGTAAACCAACGCAAAAACGGCACTTCCGGATGATGTCATACCCATTTTTGCACGAAGAGTCCTTTAAATGCCCCCCTCAAGGTTATTAGCGCCCATACCACCGCAAAAAGAACCTGTTTGGCAGAGGAAAGAAAACCGCGATTATATAGGGAACGAAATTTCCTCGCTAGATTGGAATTAACACACTGTTTCCAAGAGAAACCAGAGTCGAAAGCAAACAAATGGTTGCTCCGTCAGAAAAAGGTCAAGGGTCACGCTACTGGACATGTGCAGACCGTCTAGTAGTTCTCCTCTCCTGAGTTTACAGTTTTCGTTAAGGATAACCCTGTCCCCCTTTCCCGATTGCGTACTGTAGTTACTAACGTCAATTGCAAACCTCTCCAGGGAAAAAGGAGCCTAAACAAAAACCCATGGGGAACACCCTAAGCAAGAACCTCCTGACAACATTATTGTGTTTTCCAGACCTGCTCGTGTTATGCCAGCAGAGCGACATCCTGCCGCCTCTCTGGCTACTAGTCGTTTTTCCAGGTCATCTAATTCTAATACTATCTAACAATAAACACAATAGAAAAACTGAACTCGTGACAAATTTAAGGTTCGGTGAGCGCGACAACTAAAGAGGCGGCAGAACTGCAACTTATGAACTTACCACTCACCTCTACTTACTGCGGATTCGCGAAAACGGGATAATCTCTGAGGCTGAGGATCACACTACTTCTACAAGGAAGGACGCCTGCGAATTGGTTGTGCGCGAGGCTCTAACCCTATGGTGGGAGAGTTGTTAGATGGAACTCTTTTCGGCCTCACTTTTCGCCTTTTCAGAGCGTAGAGATTCCACAAATGCGCAGAGAGGTAATTCATACTGCTGTCATTACTAGTAAGCCCAATCGCTCCTACGAGGAATACTAACCCATAACGTAAAACCGCCCCGATGAACGGGTGCACTCTTGGCGGAAAGGTCGAAAAATAGGCCAATACAGGTTCTATCTAACAAACACGTTTGGTAGAACTAACGAAAACACAAATCGACTTCGCCAGTTGATTTCAGCAAGGCTGCTGCTATCTCGCAGGATTTACTGAATAAGCTACTAAAAGAAACTAAACACAGCAACTATAAGGTTCATTTCGCCTCTTCACCACATAGACTACTTGTGAAATTCAGACCGTACGTTCTATAGGGATATAGGGCTGATTACATGGTCCCTAGTAATATTGTATAGCGGGACCTACACTTTTTCATACCAAAATCTACAATACATTACAGAAAGGAATAGATGGAATAGATTCAGAGCTTGAATAGGGTCAGAAATTTGACCTACGGTGTAGTGTTCAATCAGATGAGACAAATCACCCTCGCCGTGACAGAGTGTAAAAAATAAGAAAAGTCCCGAGCGAGATGGCCAGTGTTTGCATCACGAGAAGCGCACGAGACATTTGTTCGCGTCAATCACACAAAGACGCGATTATTAGACTGCCACCGTAACCCCGTTATATAAACATCGGATTTTGTAATTAATGATTTAGATCTTAAAGTGTACTTAACAAGTGAATGAATGACAGATCGATATTTAACACTCGAGATAAAAAAAATCGTATTTTGCTAGAGTTATATCAAATGAATTCTGCTAAATAAATAATGTATACAGCTGTACAAGAAGTTACACAGATTGGCTGAACTACTGAAAAGATATCCTTTGAAAGGAATTGCAATTTGATTCCAGAAAACCTCATACTATTATTTAATTGACATCAAAAGGTGATGGTTAATTTTGAGGGCTACGCTCACCCACACTTGACAGTTTTCTCTTGGACAAGTACAACCCACTCTCTTCAGGGATCAAATACTCGCTAGGGATCCTAAAACGTACGACGTGCCCCGTCGACCAGCGGAGGGAAATGCCGAAGGATTTCATTTTGAAGGGAATGCGACCAACGTACATTTACAACATAAAAAGGCGCCAAAAGAAAGGAAAAGAACTTCGAAGATTCGACGAAAATCCAAAACAATTTGCAAATTTTTTTGTGTTCGGCTGTTTATGCACTATTTATGTATGTTTAGTTTATTGCACTTGAGTTATGCATATTTTGATTAAATTGAGCTAGACGTCGACAATAAACGATTGACGGCCTGGTTAGTCAAGTGCATGGAGCTACAATTGTAAGTACAGATAAGATAAGGCTAATAAGGAAAGGTTAACCTGGCAATGAGTGGGCTAGCTATTGGTCGTCAAGCAGCGAAACACAGAAACTTAGGCATGAATCCGAGAGGGAGGGGGCATTTAAAGGACACATTGTGCAAAAATGTGAGTACTATAAGGGGTTACAGGGCTTCTGTCGATCATATTTTCTCTCACTGCGTGGGTCCAGAGGCATTTTCTAGTGACATCTTCTGGCCGACCATTTGAAGGGCGGAAAACAAGGAAGAAGGAGGGGGGAAGGAAGGAAAGGAAAAACTAATGGAGGAGGAAGCAAAAAGGAAGAAGGGAGGTTCAGCGGTTGACGGGCATGCTGAGACGACCATAATGAGAGGAACCACTTTGCACTGGTCCACCCAATCCGGAGCCTTGTCTCGAAAGACCCCATCTCGATTAGGTTAGTCGGAAATTCCCACATGTTGTCCTTTACATGCCCCTCCCATACGATTCGCTTCGAAAGTAAAGGTGAACAGCAGGAAGAACTTCTCGGAAGGCATTTGCATTTTCTCATGTCAAAATATTTTAAAACATTTACCAATATTGAAAGGTGTACTTGAGGAGAAAAGGGCTTTGTGAAGAAGAAAATAATGAGACCAAAAACTCCTTCAGTATTGGAAATGATTAGATGCAGACGAATCAAAAAGATTACAGTATTCCAGGCGTTATACAGTGGCAACCTGGTTTTTAGGTGATTCTCCTTCCCAGACAGGTTGTTTCCCAGTGCCTCTCCCAATGAATAGAAAACAATCAAGTAGAAACAGCAGACTAAAAGCCAGGACAGAAACAGAACCCCATCAGGATTTTAGTCACCCGTTCCTCAATCCGAGACCATTCCTAGCCTTCCAACCAGATGGATTCGAACCAAAGTTGCCTGCTGACTCCTTCCCAGCTGTCATGAAAAGCAATGCGACACACTACCAAGCCGATTTCCCGAAATAGTTCCAGCACGCCTATAGAAACAATCGGATGCCGAAAGCGCGCGGTTGAAGGGAGTTGACTCGTCCGGGTGGGTCCCGCAACGAATACCTTTCGTACAGCAACAACAATGCCAAACCTGCCGGCTGCTGCTCCCAATTTCACATGGCACTCTAATTCATGTCAAATCTATGTGATATACTGCAGGATTTCCAAAAGATGGCATCACATCAATGACCGTATAGATTCACGCTCGGATGCGAACCCGCGTCGAACCCACGCTACAGTAATTGACAAGTGTGCGCAGGCGTGGTCCTGACAGGAAAATACAGTAATTAATAGTTATGATTCGTTGTTGGATCGACAACTAACGCCGTCGATCGTCGTTCTATCTTCAAACGGTCTGTCTATGGGATGGTGAGCAACGGCGCCGAGTTCCTGAAAGTCATCAAGTCAGTTCCCTTGTGTTTTATTCCGAATTGGACGCCAAAACAGATGAGTGTTTTCAAGGAAGGAAGAGGGCGATGAGGTCAGCCAAGTCCAGCGGGGCCAAAAGCAGCAGTGTTCGCCGAATCCAGAACCTTCGGTATCGCTTTCTATGTGTAATTCTTCGTGAAATCAATAGTTGTCCGTGCGGCTATCGATTTTTTGGCGTTTGACACTGTGGTGATGTAAATTCGTTCAGATTCGTCGAGTTGAGAATATTCCACTCAGATGTCCAGCAAAATACATTATTAGACAAGCACCGGGACCAACGACTGCATCCGCATTAAAAAGAGTCTACATCGCACGGAGTATGTTTTCTTATTACTTTCCCGAAATCGCCACTTTCAAAGCTGTTCCTGGATCGCTGTCCTACTACATACATATTTTGAAATGCACCAAGCCAGAAAATTGCTGTCCTGAAGATAAATGTAAAATTTTGGTTTCCATTTCATTCCTTCAATTTTTATGTTGTATGATATTCAATAGTGTGGTGTGATGAAAAGAATGGATATCATGAGCATTTCTACCCAAACCTAAAACCGGAAAAGGTACTGGGTAGATGAACTGATATTGTAGGAAAAATGTTTTCGTATTTCGTGAAAACGTGATCGGCTTTCGAAACTTCCTTTTAGGACCTTGCTAAATGTTCTAGTAAAATAGACTAGTGTTCGCTGTTGCAGTCTTTTATTTCTTAAACCTTAATTGCGGTTGTTTTTGGGAATTGCGTCTTTCATGTTGCCTTTAACTTTACCCTCTATAACCGAACAGGGGTTTAAGTTTCTAATTCAAATGTAACAAGGGAGAGTGAGCTGGATTCCGAGTATAGGGAGCCGCCGGAAAGCTCTGATTCCATGGGTTGGGATGAAATAGGTGCTCAAATACTCTCCTTAGTAAGGCATGTTTCTTCGCTCGCTCAGTTTTTCTTTGCAATGTTTAAGTCGCGACTTTGAAGAAATGACAAAACTGCTGATAGAATCAAGTAGACGTTTCGATTTTAATAACTGCGCAAGCGTGTTAAACGCAGAATTTGCACAATGCCGAAATTCCGCGGAACCGGCATTTCTCCCGGAGGCGGGGCTACATTCCCTCAACTCTTTTATCCATCATTTCGGCATTTTGCGGATTCTGCATTTCTCCCAATCCGCGGTTCTTCATATAGAAATGTATACTTTCTTCTATCGGCTTTTTCGTCATTTCTTCAAAGTATTCCGTCCTTGGCACCAACGAAATTCACATCGCTCAGACCCGAAACCAACCTGGCTCGAAAACGTGAGAAACCCAGAAAATAATAAGGGAAACCATGCGACATTGTGATCCTCATGCTGCTCTTCTCTTTTCTTTCTGGTCAAGGAATTACCACAGCTAGTAGTTTTGAGAAAGATCGCTGCAGTACATGTGACAGCTAGTAGTTTTGAGAAAGATCGCTGCAGTACATGTGAATTATTTTTGCTGTTGGTATATCGAGCAGACAAAATTCTTCACCATTGGGCTTATTTCTATAGCTAGCTGTACATGTTTATCCAAACAAGAACTGATACTGTATCAGTATGGACACAAGTTTACTCGACTTACCATTGGGCTTCTTCATCTTCTTCCACTGCCTTGACCCCTCTCGAACATTCCTCGACTTTTCAGGCTCTGAAGAAGGCGACGAAGCAAAAATAGAGCAGTGTAAACTTGTATTCAGTGTTTAAGAGATCACAAGGGAATGGTTTGAACTTTCCATGGGGAACTTTGAATGGAGACCTAGGTACATCGATAGAGCCTCGAATGCTGATTACGAATATGCAGATTAAAAGTGCTACGGGGACCTCCCAGACGAGATCTGGGTGGTCAAAGTTTGAGTTCTGGCTCGTAAGCGCTGCTGATCGATGCTTCGGCAGTGCCACCGTGGCCTCGTGGTAATGGTCTCGCTTTCAAGTCAAACGCATGCGGGTTTGCATCCGGTTGGCGCGAAAATTTTTGCTTCGCTCCGTATAAGAGCTTCAACTCTAATTTTCGAAATTCTTCGAATTTACGGCCCAGCAGGGCAAGTAGATCAAGTACATCAAGTATACGACGTACTCGATCTAGTATGGATTTGGTCATATCTGCCCTCTCTGAACATATTACCCATCCGACAATTCAAAGTTTTGCCCAGAATCGCAATTTGGCCAGACGAGCGTTTTTTCGTCGAAGGATGTGATATTCGTGTTCAGGGGGTCGAAATCTCCCATGAACGAATTTCTCGCTAAAACTTTGAATTGTCGGATGGGTAATATGTTCAGAGAGGGCAGATATGACCACATCCATACTAGATCGAGTACGTCGTATACTTGATGTACTTGATCTACTTGCCCTGCTGGGCCGTAAATTCGGAAGAATTTCGAAAATTAGAGTTGAAGCTCTTATACGGAGCGAAGCAAAAATTTTCGCGCCAACCGGATGCAAACCCGCATGCGTTTGACTTGAAAGCGAGACCATTACCACGAGGCCACGGTGGCACTGCCGAAGCATCGATCAGCAGCGCTTACGAGCCAGAACTCAAACTTTGACCACCCAGATCTCGTCTGGGAGGTCCCCGTAGCACTTTTAATCTGCATATTCGTAATCAGCATTCGAGGCTCTATCGATGTACCTAGGTCTCCATTCAAAGTTCCATGGGAAGTTCAAACCATTCCCTTGTCAGTGAAAACCATTCTAACCGGCAACTTATTACAAGAATCGATCGTGAAACGTAGCACTTTCCGTATGGATTTTCAGATCCTTCTGAGTCGAAAACAGAATCGAAGGAGATCGACAAGCTAGCAGTTCCACATGATGATCTCTTCAGCCGAGATGCCCAGCCTGTTCCTCCTTCTTCTTCGTCTTCTTCTGAAAGTGATTTTTAAAGTATTCTTTACTAGTACTTATAGCTTTAGCTTTGCTAAGTGAGTACTATTTATAACGTGGTTATTGCTTATGTAAATTTTTTTAGCAAAAAGTCCCGTGAGGTTTTGGCGAACGCCTACGGGAAAGTTAATAAAGCTGGATGCAAAGCTCCCAACAATGGTTCATCCGTCTATTGGTTGTCTTGGTACTTTAGTGAAGACGCAACCAAGATTCGTCAGATTGGCTAATGGAAAGTTAGCTCGGATATCGACAAAGGTGGGTGTTTCGCTCCATTGTTGAGATATGGGAATTTGCCGAGGCACGTTCATACTTGCCGATGCAGTTGCGCGAGCGAGCCGTTCACCGTGTGAAATATGAACGCAGTTTCAGGAATACATCGTTTACGGCTTTTTTTCGCTTGGGTATTGGCTATAGCGTGAAAGGGCGGGTGTAGTTGAGGGTTTCTGAGTTGCGGCACTACACGGACCACTCAGTAATCCTAGCTAGTTGGCTCGACATATCACTTGCATTATATTCGCTATTTAGCCTACATCCAGTTCACTTTTTCCTTAGCCCTATCAGCAGAAAACTCGACAACTGGTATGTAGTTGTTTTTCCCATTTAAAATTGAGGGGATCCCTGCCAGATCGAGTTAATTTGTCAACTCTTTTGATTTGACTTCATTATAATATTATTCAATCATTAGATACTCCACAAAACTTGAAGTATATGAAAATAATTTATCGCTTGTCGAACTTTCAAGATAAGTCCGTGAAATAGGTGGTAAATGAGGTCGCGGTGTAATTGATATGAAACTAAATTAAATAGTTGTGTACTAGTAAGTAAGGAGTACTACCTGTACTCGCGCGATAGTGCTTCTCGAATGTCCTGAAATACACCCTTCTATAGATCTTGCCGATTTATCGTGCCATTTCCCGCCAAGCTCACCCACTCTGTCAGCATAACTATTTTTCATTATGAGATGATTATGATAGATTTCATTAGCTAACACAAATTTTACTTCTCATACATAGAATTTTCTATTCAGAAGATCACTTCGCCGTTTGCAATAGGACGTGCAGTATCGATAGTCGAGTCTCCCGAGAATGCGTTTACTCGTGACACAAAAAAAATTGTTCCTTCAGTAACGGCAGAAAGCACTTCCTCGTCAGGTGTGTGAACTTCTTTTGCTTTCAGTGGGTACGCTTCCCCGAAGAGAAACCGTTCATTTCTAATTTTTGCCGTACTATCTGGCTTTTTGTGTTCAACCACCATTGACGAGATTAAGCTAGAAATTACTTCACTTGACATGATGGTTGGGGAAATACGCAAGTCGACTATGGGGGAAGGACACCTGATTGCACAAAACTACGAGTTGCTCACTGCAAGACGTTCTTTTCTTAAAGCAGTTGGTTCACTCTCCCCAAAGCTGCTTACTTTTTTGTTAGGACGAGTGTCTCCTTCCTCATTAGTCTTCAAAGACCCTCCTTAGCTGACTGGCGTCTGTATGGTTTCTTAGCTGAGGTCATCTCTCACATGAAGATTCCAAATTCAGGTTTTGACGGTGATTAAATTCAGTTGTGAAGCATAATGTTCAGAACCAATCGATGTCGCCACACTGATCGGATCCGGTTCGACAACGTCTGACGAAACGCCGCTCTTCAAAACGGACAGTGATCCTGCAGTTGTGAAAGATGAGCCCATGGACGTGGAGGAAAAGCCCGAGCAGAAAGAGCATGAAAAGCTAGCACCGCTGGAACGAGTATTGGTGGAACCCCCAGCAACAGATGTTTCATCAAAAGAACAACCTCAAAAGCCGCAACAACCTGCACCACCACCTGCAAGCCCTCCTCAGCCTTCAGTTGGTGCTGTGTTGAAAAGCCTTGTTGCCAGTGGTCGGCAAGTGGTAAGTTTTGAGGCGTTTGTCTTTCTGATCTAAGAGATTAGTGGAATCAGTTCCAGGGTGACCTCGGAAGGATACTTGAACAGCCGCTGTTCAGTCATGACAGACCGCCACCTCCTATTAGAGATTCATGCAAAGTGTGCCGGGTTGTGGTTCCTGGCTTGAAAAAGTGAGTTTTTATAATTGATTGTGTTTCAGGTCCCATCTTACTAGATCTTAAACAGTCGTATAATCGAGGTGATTAGTTGCAAAATTATCCAGTTATACGTAATTCTGGTCATGCTAAAATTTGACTCTTCAGGGATATCAATATGGGCTTTGCTTGCAATTGCTGCGACATTTTAAAGCGTGCCCAAGAGAAGTAGTAGATCAGTAGCGTGATATTCAGCCCCAGACACATTCCACCATTACAGTTCATTGGCTTCGGGGTCCAAGTACGAACTTCTAGACGCTGGACTTACTAACCAAGAAATATGTGGATAAAACTGTCGAACACGCCGTAAACAAGGGCCAAAGATTGCACGATTTCGACATCCATTCTGCTCTATATCCTACAGACAAAAGCCATTGGACAGCTGCCCTTCCCTCACTGATCACGTTCCTCTCTGTCTTGCATACACTTTCTACGGTCAACTTTTGGGTAGAAAGACCTACTGCTAGAAGTAGTCCGTCCGAAATAGCATAGATTACGTTGTTTAATAGAGTCCAGCTTCTCTCTTCATAAAACCTCGGCATTATTGATATGTTTAAGTTGTAATTTGTTCTGCCAAAGAGGTTGGTAGGTGGAAGACTTTATTATAAATGGCCTGACGTTTCGACAGGATCGTCGTCCTCAGAGGCCTAAACATAGCTCAAGGTTTGGATGTTGTATCCACTAGACCGCCAAACGCCTCGCCTCCCTAGCGTTTTTGGCGAAATCTTAGGAGAACTACCAAGAAAAGCCGAGTGTGAGAAACGAACTTACCAGTCCACCACCACATGAGCGGAACGATCTTGGTAGTTCTCCTAAAATTTCGCCAAAAACGCTAGGGAGGCGAGGCGTTTGGCGGTCTAGTGGATACAACATCCAAACCTTGAGCTATGTTTAGGCCTCTGAGGACGACGATCCTGTCGAAACGTCAGGCCATTTATAATAAAGTCTTCCACCTACCAACCTCTTTGGCAGAACAAATTACAACTTAAACATATCATAATTACCATTTTTATGGTTGGAGAGTGAGCGGCCGGTATGGAAAAACGCAGTCTTATTCACATCGGATGCTGGTCCATGTCAGTGAGTCCGCGCCAGCTCGTTCTCCACCGATTGTTGAAGCGAGCGAGCGACAATGATGGTGGGAAATTGGCTGGCGCTGCATCAACCTTACGCTCTCCCTGGCATGCCCCATCATCTCAGCGAAAAAGACCATACGCCACCCGCAGATGATGCTGCTTTATCTGAACACAACATTTGCCAGCTTCCTCAAATTCATAAATACAGCGGTGCCTCGTTACCTTCCTTATGTGTAGGATCGACTTATGGTCTCTCTCGTCTTCTGGCCTGTTGTCCTGCCTGTCACATCTGGTTTGTCGCCTACGAAGCAGTGTCTCGTTTCCTGGAATACTCGCCCAGTCCTGGGCCCTAGTTAAGCAACTGAGGCGTTCTTGTCCTCCTTATTCTTCACCAGTAAGTCAGCTAGGAACTACAATTTCGTACTAGGACCCTAAAATCCACACATCGTAAACGCGGATATGTCTTTTATTAGTATCCTTTTTCTCAATAAGGTGCTGTTCACCACGTGATTAATTTGTTGAGGATGGAGATGGCAGGAATCTCCCACCGCTTCGCAGCTGCTTGGTAATGGAACAGAACAAACGTAATAAATGGGAGCTTTTTGAAGTCTACTTTCACTTAGCTTGCTTGCAAATGTATGCATACAGGCTTTCAGTTATTGCAGTTTCGGCTTTTCACGAATGCAGTGGTATTTCAACATTACGACTCCAAAAACTAAAAAAAAACTTTGCCATTGAAATTTTTGCCTGTAGAAGTTTTTTGGTGCCCTGATACGATTATGACGCTCATTTCTGACGCCAACACCTCTCTAACCAAAATCGATGAAAACTTGCATGATATCGATAGTCGATGTTTGATATCCTGATGATGAACATGACATCATTTTTCAACAACACCGCAATTTACGCTCTGCTAATGCTGAGCCAAGGATGGAGTGTTTTCCTTATCGCCAAGATCGGCCTTAGCAGAGCGCAGATGATCAGAGTGTCCTACATCAGCACCGCAGCAAGAATCTCTATATAGAACCAGAATGAATGTCATATTCGTGATCAGAATGTCAAATAACCCACCAATTTTCATCGATTCTGGTGGAAAAGGTGGCGGCGGCGCCAAATTGCAATAGCGTGGAAAACTACCAGGGCAACGAGCAACCTCTGCGGGCGAAGCATCAGCGGAAAAAAAAACTTCGAGTTTTTGAAGTCGTTTCAGAGGAATAATGCCAAGGTTTCTGCACATTTTGTGATGTTGAATTTTATCGAAGTTTATTCTTTCTTCATAACGACTCTTGACGTGTGACCTAGTGCTTCTCTTCCAGGAATATGATATCCCTTGAAGGACGACTCAATGGTTTAGTGGAGACTGTTCAAAGCCTCATTGTATATTTGAATCCGGTGATTGTCTTTATCAATTTCATTACTGTTACTCTACAGTTGAGGGTGATCTACGTGAACCATTGAATTTATGTGATTTTTACTTTTACATTTGCAGTTAGACAGGGAAGCGGCCGAATTGGCTTCAACGGAAGGAGCACCGTCATTATTGACCCCCTGTGGAAAAGGACAAATTAGCACCAAAGGTCTCAATGCAGCCGCAACATTAGCCGCTAAAAGCTACCGTATGTCTTGACGTTATTTTGTTGAACATTTTGGTGCAATAGGTCGTGCGGATTACGGTAGTCCCATTTTCCTCAAGTGCCTCGGAGCTACGAAATTACGGAAATTGTCTGTACATCATATGTTTATGATTATTGAGGTTGGAAGCATTCATTGCTAGATTGTGCGAGAAGTTATGTGAGCCATAGGAATTAGGGTGTTTTCCCGAGCCTGGAAAGAGACTGTACGTAAGTAAAAAAAAGTAGCTGCAAAAAGGTGTTATCCTGGAGTAATCCACTTCCCAAACTCAAAGATACTCTTTACTCTCCTGTCCGAAGACCCCGGTCCTTGCTTTGTGTGAGGTAAATTGTCCGCAACTGTGTAGATCTGTTCCCCTTCTGTTATAAAAGAGCGGGAAAGTGGCTAGAGGGTAGCGGTAGCTGTACACCGTTTGGGGCTCCACCCAAAGGCAAAAAACGCAGCACGCGACACGCACCAGCTCTCATAGCCAAGCCAAAAGCGCTACTCGTCTGTACCTCTTTTGGATAGGGGGGTATTGTTCCACGCGGCCGCGATGGACAGCTTGCCATTCATGTGGTTCGCTGTGGGACATCGTTATTGACGTAAATGCTCCATGTTGCGGTCTTCGTGAAGATCCAAAAGGCGTCTACCTTTCACTGCGCTCCAGTCTCATTTTCGCATTCTTTCGAATGACGAAAGGGGCATACTTCTAAGACTACGTTCATAATTTGCGTTAGCGTTCTGATGGTTTGGTACATACGCCAGCGTCCACCAGATGTGGAGAGCATGGGGAAGTAGGAGGGTAGCAGACGGTTGGATGGGCCGTCGTGAAATCGCGGGGTGTGCATCCGCAATGTGCAAAAGCTGAAGCACAGAATTAGACAAAATTGATATGAGGCGCAGCGCAGTTGTACGGTGCACACGCCCAATCCGTCCCGCCTGCCACCCTTCTGCTTTCCCATACACTCCGTTTTTGGTGGACCCTGGTAGCGCTGGAGTACGCTAGATCGTATACTTGTCGCTGACGCTGGTGTACGCTCAAAGCGTTGCAGTACGCTGGCGCGAACTGTGAATGCACCCAAAACTGCTGACCCGTTAACTTCCTTCGGAGCTGTCTGGTAATTGGACGTGCAGCTCGTGTTTTAGCGAAGTTCTCATTACAGTCACCTTTTTTCTTCTTTTAACCACCTCTCCTGGTCTATTTTTCTTGTGCTTCATTTCAGACCCGCACGAAGCAAAGTTGTCGACGCTACGCAATTTCTCCATGCCCAAGGACTGGCCAAAGATTGCCGCAATGTCCAAGAGAGAGTTCGATTCGTTTCTAACTGATCTTGGATTGCTTTGGCGTACGAGAAGATGTCCTAATTGCAATGAGCCGTGCACTCTAACGGCGCAGATCATATTTGAATGTAATCGTACGTCATGTAGAAAACCTGGAATTAAAAGGAAGATTGGCTATCTCTTTGATACCTTCTTCGAAAATGTGAGATTAAGTCGCAAGAAGGTATTCAAGGCCTCATATTACTTCATCAACAATATCGGATCAGTGGAGCAAAGAGCGTATTGGTGCGGCGTGGAGCCTAAAACGATTATTCAGTGGGATGAGTGGTTCAGAGATGTGTTAGTCGAAAGTTTTATGAACAACCAAACACCCTCAAGAATTGGCGGACGAGGCAGGATTGTTGAAATCGACGAGACTTACATGGTACAGAGAAGGTACAATCGAGGGAAAATGGTTGGTAGCTCGTGGCTCATTGGTGGCATCGAAGACGGAATGAAAAGGATGTTCGTAGAAATTGTAAATGATAGAGATGGACCAACCCTCGATGGGATTATGCTTCGTAACGTCCTGCCTGGCACGACAATTAGGACGGACTCGTGGCGCGGATACGGCAACTTAGGTAATATCGGTTTCGTGCATGAAACCGTAGACGAAGGGCTCAGTTTTGTGGATCCTTCGACTGGATTACATTCGCAGGGAAACAAATCAACATGGTGGCAATTTCACCAAACGATCATGGAAAACAATATACCTACAGTCACAATGTGGGATGACCATTTTCTCGAGGCTATCTGGAAATTTCAACGGACGGAAGATTCGAGATTTTATCACCTGTGGCGAGCTATTGCGGAACGTTATCCTGTTCGCTAGGTGGGTACTACTTTTTCTTAAGGTTTGTTATAAAAGAAAATGTATTGCTATAGCGATAAGGTGGGGCATTTCGATGCAGAGCACCCACCCTGAGGTATTGGAAACCACGACAAACATTTTCTTTTATGATAAACGTTAGGTGAAGAGATACCCACTTATCGTTTTTTGTGCTTTCCTGCATTGACTGCCGTCCAGCCTAAAAAATAGAAAGCAAAAATTGGTATTAATATTGATACTGTGGCATTTAAATTAGATTAAATTAAGTATTATTGTGCAAATTGGGACTACCGTAGTCGCACGGATTCTTACACCAAAATGCCCCACCTTATTGTAATAGCGCCGAAAATGTTTGTCGAGGGCTACACTGTCTTTGCTGTTCTCTGCCCGTCATAGAGTGCGTTCATACTTTGTCAGCGTTTTGAGCGTACGACAGCATTCTGATTGACTAGGAAAGTATAGGTATCGATCTAGTTTGAGCGTTTCGCGCGTAGTTTTTTTTGGCGTTTTTTTTTTCGAAAACGCAACCGCACGCTAAGAAGTTGTCTTAAAGTGTGAACGCAGACAAAACGCTAAGGCAAAGTAGCGATACAGGAGAATAGGAGAATCGGCGATTCGATGTTCGATTCGATGTTTCAGAAGAGTACGCGCCATCAGAGTAGATGGGTATCGATCGGCTCCGGTCGCCAGCGGCTCAATGTTCCTGGAACGCGCGCTTTCCCGAAATATCGAATCGCAAATTTTCCTGCTCTCCCAAGTCGCAAAGTATGAACACAGCCATACCAGAGAAACTTCTGCTGTTGTATTTTATTACGTTTTTAATGTTGCTTTTTTTAGCTTTTGGTGAAGTCAGTCGTGATTCGGGCGACAGAATCCCATCGATTCTTCTGCCTGTTCCGCGTGGGAGTGAGAATAGAATTGAGATGAGAACTGTTGATGCAGAAGAAGTTGCAAATTCAATGGCTCGTCGCCCAAACGTAGTCAGATTCATTCATCAACCATTTAAAACCACAACTGTCGTTAGGTCTTCCTCGCCCTTACGATCCACCCCTGGAAGGATCCGTTTCGTTGTTGCTGATAAGGCAAAAGCAAGTCGATCAGTGAGTTTTGATGCAGTCACACATATGTATTTTTAAAGATTTCATGTGAAATTTTAAAGGTCCCCAGCTCAAGTGCTAGTGCAACCACACCTGAAACAAAGTCCGATAAAACAGAGTCGTCCAATCAGCAAGTGCATGTTAGTCCTGGTGAGGATGTTAAACCAGAACATGGGTCAACTTCAAATGATAACAAAGTGAGTCCTTTACATTTCCTATTTTTCAAGTTCAAGCGAAACGATCGGCCTTTTTTAGTGAATCATGTCATTTTTTGTGAATATGGTCGCAGCAGGATGACTGGCCTGTTTTGAAAGCCTTGACTTATACCAAGGTAACGTTTTTATCTGCATGTTCCAGTAGTAGGTCAAATGTGGAGTGCCATTCGACGGGACAAGGTTTTTGGGTGCTTGGATCTAGACCTCGTAAGCCATCTACCATTCGCAATAGTGTGTTGGTTCCCTGTCCGCGACCTTACCGAGTAGACGGGAGAGCCACAACCGTCAAAAGGGTTACATATTGACACGGTGAATCGTCAGTGTTCAGCTAATCCAGTGCCATCGCTAAAAAGGTTAGACATGTGTTGATCGGAACTGCCA